TGTATGTAGAACTTTTGTGCATGTAAATATTCCTGATTCTCCTCCCTTAATAATACATGTTATTTCGTTCTCTCAGTTCTGCTTTAAGAAGATAGAGAGAAATTGGAAGGACGAGGAGGGGGAGGGGACGTGGAATGTCTGTTAATTGTAATATGTAACGGTGCTTTTGTGACTTGGGCAGCTACAGCAGGTAAAATAATTGGAGTCATTTGAGGATGTTGTAGTAACGCATTATTTATCGCGTGAAATGATTTCCTTGCATGAGAGTGCAGGACGTAGATCTAGGCAGCCCCTGGTTTTATCCATTCGCGTTTTTCTAGTGGGCCATAACTTCGCTAAATCACAGGATGTTGGCATTTGGTAGGCATTCACTTGGCTTCCTGTGGCTGTTTCACTGTAGTGCTGCCCTGTATCTTGTTTCTTCCACTTTATCGGCGACTCTGGATCAGAGAGAATACTTTGTGGTATTTGAAGATCTGAGGTTAAGTGATCGCTTTGCAACATGCAGCCATCTTAACTACCTTATTTGTTGGTTGGCTGACGATGCACATGATGTGTATGAAACGGTACACTTGTCTCAGTTCACCGTCGAATGGAGACACGGCCTTTGGGGGCTTTGTTGGACTGCTGAGGCCAAATGTTTTTGACTGTTGTGCGAAAGCGGTCGGTCAGTGCGGAATGTCGTCAGGACGAGAGAGCACGTTACATGTAAGGCCCTTGATGGATCATGACTGTGAGGCAAAATGATCGTCCGCTGAACTCAAGTTGATCGGCTGCCACACACAAATCTCTAACGGCATTATTAAAGTCATATGAGACGGGATATGGGCATATCTGTAGTCCTGACTGAGCTCATACAGGGCGCGCAAATTGAAAATGTCATGACCGATTTCCGGGATATTTGGTCTGATCCGACAGGAACTCTGACGACGACAATGATGTGAATGATGGGATGGATTAGGCGGATGAGGCGCAGGAGTATGCGATGTACAAGTAGGAGGATGGGTAGGTGGAGGAAGAAGATTAGTCCGTGTGCATAGGCTAATGAGGAAAAACAATGGAATACTTTGGAATATGAATGTATCCACAAGCGGCGTCAACGAGGTTCTCTTCGTCGTCGTTTGCAAAGGAGCTGGAGTCTCTTCTCCGCCGCCTGCGGGCATTTTGAGATGGTCCTCAACATGATTTTTTACACATATAGCTTGTAACTATACTTCTTTATTCCAACGCTCACTGTTTTATTTAGTTCGAATATTCATTTCAGCCTTCGAAGCGAGCCGCACACGCCTTTTTTGACATGATTTGCTCAAATTGCGCGCATTTACTACCGAGGATTCTAAAAGGCCCTGTTCAAATGAGTGCTTCTGCTGGCTGCACATTAATCATATTCTGCACCATTATTGCTCTACATTTGATGAACCAGATCAGAGTTAGATTTTCCAAGGTCTTCGGCGATGCAATTACCGGGAATGTGCACGAGCTTCCTTGCACTCTGCTCGATCAGCACCTTGCCCTCATGTAGATTCCGTTGGTAATCCTGGATCAGAATTATCGTCATCTACTTGATAAACTGTTCCACAAATTAACCTTTTGCCGTGTGTGCGGTGACCTTATAATAGTTGCATGGTTGCGTCAATCCGTCTTGGATGTATTTGTGCAAATAAGCATTGTTGCCGTTCAGCTGCCTCTCGTCCGAAGTTCATCGAGTCCCTTTTTTTCCGAATGGATTCAATTGTTAGAATTCCAGCTGTGCTTACTAAGAAAGACGTGTAAGTTGCTAATCAATGGCTTAAACCGTTCATTTAATTATCTGATCTTTGAAACTCATGCTGTTCAGTTCAGTTCAGTTTATTTGAGGGAAATATAGGTGTTAAACCTTTGAACTCCGCATTTGTTACAAGGAGGCGAACAATAAAATAAATTTGAAAATGGAAGCATCAAACGGCTACAGAGCTTCTTCAGATTGGCAACGTTTTGTAAGCCAGACAGATAAACGAATTGTTCCAAGAGTTAAAAAAATTAACGTTACTAAATGTGCTGTACAGTAGTCTGTCTAGGGATAGTTGGTGCTATTTCAGTTTCGGAGGGAGACGAATTGAATGTCAACACACATTTAACAGACATGGGACAATTTAAAAACAAACGTTACTGAAATACAGGAAGTAATATAATAACATTAATAAACTGTTCGAACGGAATGCTAGACAATCTATTAGGTGGCATTATGACGATTGGTGGCAATCTTGTCCAAGTTGCGCTTAAAAGCCTCGACGGAGGTGGACATGACGACACCTGCAGGCAGAGCATTCCAGGCCTCGATCACTCTGTTTGAAAAGAAGAACTTCCGAGTGTCCAGCTTGGCGCCAGTTACGCGTAGTTTAAGTGGATGACCTCGGAGGTTCGTTGTGGTCGCTAACTCAAAGAAATCAGTAGGTACGAGACAGCAGTCCTGGCCGCGCAGTATACGGAATGTTTGTATAAGGTCGCCTCTTAGCTGTCTGTAACTCAGTGGAAAGAGGCCGAGATTGGACAATCGGGTTTCATAGGGTAAAAATGCGACGGAACAAGTGACAGGTTTGGGGTATGTGAGCCATTCAAATATCATTGTCATCAGTCTTGGGGTCTGTACGTGGCTCTGTAGGGCGGCACCAAACTAAAATATGCCGATTGAGTGAGCTGTCATCTGAGGTCTAGGCTTCAGTCAATTCTAGTCGTGTCTCGCTATTAGCGTGGGCGCCCGTCATTTTAGCTGCTAGTTTGCGGCGGTAATTAATTTCGAAATGGAAGACAGCCACTAATGATTATTCCGCATCCCGTCGCACAGCCATGAATGTTGATATGGACGCGATAGATGCATGATTACATTCGTAACTGTGGAATTATAAGAACAGTCTATTCACGGTTTACGTTACATTACATCGGACTTCTGATTAGGATTTATTTGGTCCTTCATAATCATGACCATGCTGCGCATAGTCACTTTGGCTCGAAGTCCCTTAGCAATGCATTCGATCGTCTCTGAAACGGCCATGATGTACGTTAGAGCTTGCCATATCGTCGATGGTTTCCGATAGTGACCTCCAGGGGCAATTACCTAGGCAACGACTTATAAGCGTCCTCCAATGGCAATTCCACATAAACCGCTCGTGGAGATACCCGGCCTTACATGCTTTTTTCAGCTAGGTTACTGCAGTCATCCTCACCCCGTATGATGAGTGTTCGCATAGTTTCGCATGTAAGCCACCGAGGTGTTGCTGTAAAAACTGAACAGCTGTGCGTCGTTCGCCGCCTTTCTGTAAACCATTATTTCTATTCCATTCATTGAACTTTGCCCGAAGAACACATATAGGAAAAGCAGTTGCTGCATCTTTTTCCCATCTTGACTTGTGAATTATGTGTCGGGAAAGACTTAGGTGTACAGGTCACGAAAATTCTGCGGCCCCTTCTTCTCGACAATAACAACATTGTCATCGACGTTACGGCGCTAAATAAACTGGGTCCTGACGATTGACTTAGTCCCTTCTGGAGATTTGGGGACCTATTAAAGTCCCCTTTATTTACTACTAGGCTTCTCCAAATTCCGGCCATTAACTAGCGTTCAGTAGAATAACAGGTCAGGTATACAGATCGACGCGTCTGCAGTTGCCCTACAAGAATCACGTTATTGTTCCACTGAATTTCCAGAATCCATACTGCCCCTTTCGAATATATTATTTTTGCTTATAAATTGACGGGCAATTGAAGGCATTGATGAAGAAAGTGTTGTCAGCTTTACTGGGGAGGTTAATATTTTAATAGTTATCCAAATTCAGTCCTTTTATTTTGGCAGTTAGGAACTTCACACTGGTACCTAAGCTATTATTGCGCTATGTGCAATCACTTGGATGAATTTGGGGACACCAAATATGATAGGTTTGCAGTACCAATGCAGCTGAATCTTACAGATGCTGCAGCACTTGTGGTTAACGTTGCATTCATCTGAATCCGTCTCTCGTGCCGGTGTTTATCTGGAATAAAAACCTACTGACTACCTGTCCGCCTGAGTGGTCTTCAATTTGGTAAGAAAAATAGAGAAGGCCTTTGAACACCCTATTGATTACGTGTCATCTTGTTAGATAAAACTGTACATGAAAAATGAAATTCTGCGCTATTAATCAGTATTTTATTGTGTTATTTCAGTTTATTTCAGTTTATTTGGTAAGGATAATAGGCAAAGCCTTTGAAAACCCTTTTGATTACATGTCAGCTCGTTAGAATAACTGTACACGAACAAAAATGTTCACTATTAAAACAGTACTTGGTTCATTTGAGTAGCATTGTCTCAGAGAAGTTTATAGAAAATTGTTTATAGAAAAATATTTGCAGGAACCGCAGGGTGATTAGCTCAGGTTTAGACTGTCGAGGGTAAATTGGGGACACAATTAAGCACCCCAGCGTTTCTTGAAGCTGACTGACTGAGAGTGGTTGTTTCATTTCTCCACTACCGTTTGTGCGAAAAATTCAGAACGAAAATTCAGCCTGGATATTTTTGTGCGTGGCTTCATCGAGTGACCACGAATTTTGGGTGAAAGGCGCCATTGAAACATGTCCTTAAAGCTAAATCCATGCTGAAGGTCATGTATTATCCTGCAGAAGAGGATAGGTAACATTGAGAGAACAAATAAAGGCAATTTACTCTCTCAATGAAGGATTGGCTTTTTAAACCGTTCACCAGCTTTGTTTCAAGACGTTGTACTCATCCAAGGCATGTTTGCTAATTTACAAGCCATGGATGTCAAGCTTGTATGCTCTATTCTGAATGGTACCGAACAGGGGTGCCGTGAGCTCTTCCAAAGAGGTTATTGTCAAAGCTTACGAACGCCATTTTGATTGCATTGGGCACGCCCCTGATATTTCTTTGCAGCCTTGTTTCACTGCATTGAAGATTCTTCTGAAAGTCTTATGTCTTTCAGGTGATATGCCCTTTTAGGCTCTCGGTTAAATGACAGATGGTTGGACGCAGATGAAAGACGGCACACATCTGAACATTGAAATATAGAAGCCACTTCTACGGCCATGTTTACAGTCACTGAAGAATTTTCTGAAGGGCTCTCTGGTCATTTGGACTCTGAATGACTTGCCAGAGTTTTACTTCGTCGGCAAACATTATTTTGCCACTGTCGAGTTCCTGAGGGCTGTCATTAACATAAAGTGATGAAGAGCAATTGTCCCAGAACTGAGCCTTGAAGCACATCACTAGTCACATTCACCCAGTCTGACCTATCATCTCCGATACAGACACGTTATTTCCGATGAAATAGAAAGGCTTTTATCCAGTTCAGAAGATCTCCCCGGATGCGGATTTCGCTCAATTTGTGCAGAAGGCGTTGGTGCAAGACAGTTTCGAATGCTTTGCAGAAATCGAAGTACACGATATCGACCTCAAAACCCTCTTCTTTTGCTCTGGTCAAGATCTCCAGACCAGTCAGCAGATTTGAGAGACAGGAACGTACTATCAGCTAGCCAAGTTCGTAATCCTGCAAGATGTTATTTTCTTCAGTAAAAAGTTGTGTGGCGCTCTTTACTAGACCTTCCATCGTTTTGCATCGGAGGAAAGTTAAGCTAAATGGCCTGAAGGTGCTTGCTGCCATCCTGCTACCTCCTTTATATAATGGAACGAGGTAAGCCGTCATCTACTGCAAGGGCAGTCCGTGCTGAGGCGCCAGACTCTCATGTCTTTCCCTACCTGTTCCTTACTCTTGAACTTACTGGTTGTTTAAGTGAATGGAAGGAACACAACTCGACACAACGCGCTCGGCATGAGTTAGATTGTCGGGTCACATCATTTCTGATTGTTAATTATTTCATAACTCTGGTCTGATCGTGATATTCATAGTCTGGAATTGACGGGTATGACTTTAGCGCTCACGATAAGTCTTCCTGCTCTCATTCACAGCTCAAGGAGAGTCGAAGAAGGCTTTAACAACTCCGTAGAGAGCTGCTTAAGTATCAGCCCAGGAATTCCGTTGGACCCAGGAGACTTATCTGGTTTATTTCACTGAGAACACGTTTTATTTCCTCGAAAGGAAAGTGCAACCGTTTGAATGACGGCAGTATCTTGGCGCATTTTTAGCTCCCTGCCGTCTTGATCCATTTCAAACTCCTGATTGTTTTCAGAGGAATCATTCATAGTAATCGATTGAAAACACTAAGATAGCAATTTAACTTTCTGTGGTCGTTCAAGTAATAAGTTTCCGAGGCTATCCTTTAGACACACAAGCTCATCCTAACGTTTTCTTTTCCTGCGGATGTGTCCATAAAAATTATCGGGACATGTAATGGATTCCGCTATTAGTTGGATCTTGAAAGAAGTTCTAACAACCCGAATTTTTTTGTCGCATTTATTGTGCTGATCCTTATATTAGGCGAATGTTATTGGCTGTTGAAGTTGCAAATATGACTTAAGTTATGTTGTTCCCGGGAACTAACGAACTACGGCTCACTAACCTCATAAACGGAGAGAGGTAATGAAGGCCAGTAAGTGAATAAAGTTATTTTTCAAAATGTGCAACGACCTGACCAGAGAGCATGCAAACGGCGCGAGGCTTATAAGCGGCGGAGTCCTCGTCACGTTAAAACAAATGCTACAGTAAAGCAAACGTGACAAGATTGTCAAAGGTCAAGTAGTCAAGTACTTCAGCACAGATGCCTTTTCCAAAACCTCTGTTTCTTCTGCATGGTCTTTTTGTCATCCGAGTGGCCCAAGGCGATCGTGCACATGGTCTTGTTATTTTTATTTTACAATGGGAGTCAATTAGACGCCCCATAACCCCGCGAAAGTAATGCCAGAATCTTTCTGAATCTTCAGTGTTGACCAAAAAAGTCCTGTCTCTAGTTACAATAAAAATCAAACAGTGGCTAGAGTGAAATCGGACGTATAAATCAAATGTGCCATAAGAAGCAATATTATTTGCGTCCTTTTTGGGTGCACAGTTGCGTTCATGAACACGAAGAACATGCCCACGAAGCGTATTCGCCCTATATCTCCAAGTAATACCTACGCTTATTTAAAGGACATGTCTGATCGTGCACAATTTCTGGAGCACGATCGAATAGGGGGGATGATGATAGATGACGAAAGAACAGACTTTCAGTAGACAAGAAGGACGGGCCGTCTTCATCTTTGGAGGGGATGTAAGTGAACACAACAAGTGGTCTGTCCTGTGTGTTGATCCGAATCTTCAAAAGGCAGAACCAGTTGCTAACATAAATAAGCGCCAGTGGGCCTCCTACAGTGTCGTGGGCGGTGAGCTGCTCGACAGTTGCGCACCCTATTTTTTAAGCCTGTTGTCAGCAGAGCACTCAGCACATTTGTAATTGCATAGGAATATTGAGTTCCTGGTACTGTTCATTGTAGAATTTTCCTTTCCTGCTTTAGAAAAGGCAAAAAACTCGTATAAATTAGCTTCTTTGTGAAGTAAACATGCTTCCGCGACCGAGGCCTGCATATTCCTAAGACAACGGATCAGACATTTTTTGTGTAAAGTCCCCAACCCTCACTGAATTATTTTATGCCTTGTTTTTTCCACCTTTTCGGAAGAGAGGATTTTCGTAGTAGGAGTAGAGGATAGCCCAAGGTATGTTGATGAGTTTCTGGTGAGAGAAGGGCGCTGGCGCGAGCGGACGCCCCTCGCTGTTGGACGCTGGTTTCACGCCGCTGCGGTTGTCACCGCAAACCGAGAGGAAGTCCTAATTGGCGTTTTTGGTGTTTTTTTAAGGAAGCGAACGAGTGGTTATTTCTTTCCTCTTGCGAAGTCTATGACGTCAGACAAGACAGGTGAGAAGACACTTGCCTTGGCGTACTTTTGTGGAAGACTTCTGCCCTCTTTTCATCATCATCATCATCGTCGTCATCATCATCATCATCATCACCATCATCATCATCACCATCATCATCATCACCATCATCATCATCATCATCATCATCATCATCATCATCATCATCATCATCATCATCATCATCATCATCATCATCATCATCATCACCATCATCACCATTATCACCCCCATTATCACTTTCTTATTCTTCTTTTTCCTCCTCCTACCTCTTTCCCACACTGGACAGATGACACAAGCTGCCCGATCTAGAGGAGAAGAGGAGTATTCTAGCCGCTGCTTACTTGCCCGGCGACAGTCGGGTTTTCGTTTTTGGCGGTGGGAATAACTCCCTCAGGCTCGCCTCGGTGGTGTTCTGCAACTTGGGAGCAGACTGGCGAGAAAAGCTGACCTCAGCAGACTTTTGGCTGCCGGCTGCCCCCATGAGAACTGCGCGATGGGGTCTCGCAGCGCCACCCTTTGAGGGGATAATCCTGGTCACCGGTGGACGTGATAGCCGAGGAAATACTGTCAACATTGTGGAGATGTTTACGCCACCGGACGCTAAGAGTCGCCTCGGCCAATGGACGGATTCACTGACATGCCGGAGCCTCGTTCATGGTTCACTCTTCTCGCATTCGCGAACGCCATTTTCGCACTCGGTAATACAAAGCGAATGATTCGTTTTTCTCTCTCTCTGGCACGCCAATCGATGTTCTAATTCGCATAGCCTTTTTACAAGGAAGAATGATAAAATTATCTTAACAGTATGTAAGGTAACTCATAAAATGTCAGCTAAAATATCAAAATGCGTTTTCGTTTCGAACTGATTAATTTACTATGGTTTTAGAACTAATAAGTTTGAAGTATAACTCTATGATAATTAGGTTGCCTCACGATGTTGGCTTTCGAACGAACGGCCTTTCGGCTGCAGAAAACAACTTTACTCTAAAAAAGGCTACTTAAATAGCACGCTTTATATTACTTATATTCGGTGTTCCTTAAAGTCCAATCATATTTCATTAAAACATGCATACAAATTTTCATTCATTCGCTCAATTGGTAGGAAATTACGTCTTCTTTAAATTTTATACCTGAAGGAGGGATAAAATTCGGTTTCAAAAAAGTTTCTAATCGGGAGACTTTTAGAAACCGCGAAATTGCCGTTCATAAAACGTCATGTCTCAGCATTTACCAATGTGGCTTTTGAGGTTAACAAAAAGGCTCAATTCGAATGTTAAATGTTATAAACCCCATAGGGCTTCCTTTCAATACCATAGATAAATGTGTGGTTTTCTCCACGCGGAAAATACATTGCTTATAGTTTGAAAACCCTCCATGCAAGTGTTGCGGCAAAGCGGGTTCAAAATTATGCGGAAATTAAACAAAGTTTTTAAAAACCAAATAATACCCATCTTTCGAGTATAAAATTTAAAGAAGACGTAAGTTTTTACAGAATGAGCTGAGGAATGAATATTTTTATGCACGTTTTCCATGAAATATAATTGGAATTTAAGGGGCATCGAATATCAGCGAGGAAAATGCATGCTAAGTAAGTTGTCAATTTTCACAGAGTACAGTTATTGTATGCAGCCGCAGAGACGTGCGTTTGATAGCCAACATCCTAAATTAACCAAACTATTATAGAATTATACTGCAAAAAGATTAGTCTTACAAACCTCCTTAGTTAATTTTTTTCGAAACGACAATGCATTTCAGAATTTTGTTTGCCATTTCGTAAGTTAGCCCACGTACTGTATGTGACATCAGCTGCACATGTGATTTGACGCATATTAGCACTGCACCATTATTGTGAATACTAGCCTTTTTGTCAGTTTTATCTGGTATTTTTACAAACTGCTTAGGCAGCAGAAGGAGAGGAAATAACAGAGTAGAGGCTCTCGCTGCACCAGAAGTTTCATCTGACTTTGACAATGACTTTAAATCCTGGATTTTGTCGTCCAAGAGCCTTGTGGAAACGCTCAACTGGATTCGTGGAACTGCTAGCATCTATATATAAGCGTTAAAAATATACGACATGACGACAAGTGTGTTTTGGTTTTATTTCTTAGAAAATACAGACGAATTTCCGTACCTAAATTATGGCTAGAGATAAACGAGCGTTTTTCATTAAGGGGAGTAAACTTTGATAGAATCATAAATCCAAATTTGTGTGCTTTGATAAGACTTCTAAATCTGCTAATATGTTTTTGAGGTCAATATTTATTCGCTGAAAAAAATTTCCAACTTTGATAGAATCATAAATCCAAATTTGTGTGCTTTGATAAGACTTCCAAATCTGCTAATATTAGGAAACATCGGGTTCAAGGATTAACTGTAATTCTCAAAATTAGAAATATGCTGGTTGGCAAATATCCTTGGGCACAGCGGCCTTCGGAGAGGAGTAAATAAGATAACATTTTAATCTGTAGGACGAGAGCAAACTTCGCGGATATATGCTGGACCCATAACCGCGAAAAGCAACTGATTAGGGCTAGAAACCTAGACGTGTTCGTGGTTGCATTTAGCATGTGATCACATGACAAATGCGAGTAACGAATCCCGCAATAAAATTAGTTATCTTACTTGGTTTGATCTTGACCGGTTTCTTCTAAGACTTTAATTTTTTGCAGCTGCATTAACAGCGTTATTTACTGCCGTTACAGTATCATGGAAATACGAGTAAACTATCACTGTTGGGTAAATGAGAAGATCAGTTACCGCGA